ATTTCTAAATAAAAATTATTTTATAAAACAATCGCCAACGTAAACATAACCATACTTTTAGTTACTGAATCTGAAAGGAACTGTTCTTCGCTGACATTTGAAACATCAAAGATATACAAACATGCAACATCGATGCTACAAGAAAATCAACACTGAAGCCATATAAATTGATCGTTTCCATTGTTCAGATGACAGAACAGTCACCCGCATTCATTGACAAAATGGCCGCCCACGTTCAATGACATCCTGCTTTGACAGTTCTGAAACACAAGGAGAACGCGTTTCCAAATATTTGAATTTATACACAGAGTGACTAAAATAAACCAGCTCGATCCAGCAGGAGGCTTCTCTATTGGATGTTCGGAGACACAGTGATCACCCGGTTGATTACTATTCGCTAGCTGAACCTGAAAGTCACAACGCAACACTTGTCTAGCATAAATCAAATCTAGAAAACAGAAGTCCAAAGATCTCCGACTGCCTCTGTAGAAGAATTGTCAAAAACAAAATCTTTGAAATCGATTTGAACAAAGAAAATTGAAAAGGATCGATGCAAAAAAGAATATTCACACACAAAACTGTTGATGAGGTAACTATACTCTGTCATATCTGACCAGAACACAATCTGAGGTTGATCACTGACCATGAACTCCCAAACTCCATGTCCGAGGTTAATCTTGACTAGATTTCTTATCAACTCCGTCGAAGATACGACTATTAGTGCGCCCCGGTCCTTTCCTACCGACTACTCTCATTAAATTGCGGTGAGTGAATGGCCAGTTTTTTTCCATAAAGGGACCTACCATGACCGCTCAAACACAAAGTATTGAATAAACGTAGACAGATTTTATATAAACAAGGACGAGAGATAAGCAGACATTTCTAGAAAAGAACACACGTCATTCAGCAAGTCCATGACGGGGATTGTGGTTGAGTCGTGAAAGAGCAGATTTCGATGCAGGCTCGGAATCCCAAAGAGGTCTTATCCAACAACCATGGCTCGGAATTTCAATACATTCAAAGCAATGGTTGAGTGTGTTTGGTAGCTGTTATAGCGGTGGTGTTAAAAATAAACGTTTTTATATATAAATAATAAAAGTTTTATAAAAAAATATTTTTATTTAAGGTTAATTTTATATTTATATATTTTTAGTTAAAATTATGTTTAAAATTAAAATTAAATAAAAAATAATTTAATATATTTGATTAAAAATATTTTTTAAATTAAAATTATAAAATAACTATATAACATACACACACACACATATATATATATATATTAATATTAATAATATTAAATTTAAATATTATAAATTTAATTATTATTATTACATCATGAAATAAATAATACTTTATATAAAATATTTTTTATTATTTTATTAAACTATCTATAATTGCATTATGTATAAAATTCATCCAATAAAAACTATAATTTTCATGATTTTTTAAACATGTAATAAAATTAAATAAAATATTATCAAGAATAAAATTAAGATTACAATACAAATAAATTTAATTTATTTTAAACTATTTTTTTTAAATTGTTCATGTAAATAGTGTAGTGTGAATAAAATCAATTTACTGTGTTGATTTCTTTTTAAAAAATACCATTTACATAAGCAATATAAATAAATTAATTAAAATTTATTTGTATTGTTCGTTTTAGTGCAAAAAAAAAAAACGCAGTCAATATCTGCTTTGATAAAATCTGCATTAAAAACGTAATAGGTAGCGAGTTCTATTATAAATAAATTGTATTTTTGTATTTATTAAATAATTATTTGGTTGTGGTTACTGTAAATAATATAATCTTTAAAGCCTCAGGTCCTTGTCTTGGTAGCGTTCTACACACAAAATCAAAACCTTTAAAATATTTAACTGTTGAATCGTTGATTATCTGGAATTTCTTTTTGTACCAGTTTCGTACCTTTGGAAGTGAATTTATATTTTTTCTTTTAAAAATGGCATGCAAGTATATTTATAAGCAATTAGTGGTCGTTCAACACATTTTTTTTTTGGTAAATCACACCAAAATTCAAGGTAGTTCAACTAGTTATAAAAACGTGACAAGAACTTGCGATAGCAGTATATATTGCATCCAATGTCAGAAACATCAACCAACACAGTCCTGCGAATAGGAACAAGGAATGCCTTGTGTTTTGGTAATTCTATAGGAGTTATGTTTAACTCTTGAATGCTATTAATCAATTCCACAGCAATAGTCCCCTGGACTCGAAAAGTAATAACAAAATGATCAACCCAGTAGCGGATTCCGCAGCTGCCACTGTCGGAACCAAGAAAGCAAATAATTGACCCATCATCTAAAATGTTTGATTGTAGAGCTTTAGCTGTTTCAAAAGAGAATCAGTTGGAGTCGGGGTATCGTCACCATGTAGCTAAGAGTCTGGAACTCAGGTGTCTCAAAAATAATGATGGCACTATAATCTAATACTGATATAATAGAAAAGAACAATCATTTCTGTATACTTTCCCTGATTTCTATTGCTACTGCGTGCCTTGCAAACAAAATCGATCGGATCATATAGATAAGAGCATAATTCATCAAAAGGATCTCCCCTACAGGTTATAGCCCTAGCTTCTCCCTGCTAAAGGAGAAAGAATTGATGCATTTTAGTGAAAAGTCATTCCCTTCTTTATGGATTCTAGCTCAGAGTCAGTCCCTGATCTAGTTGCTTGCCCCAGAGCCTGCTTTCCCAGCCCTTATTTATATTCCCCATAACTTGTATTCCTTGCCGGAGTCAGTGTAATTGCTACTTGCAAGTAGTTCGATCTTAGCTCATGAAATGATGTAATAATGAAGTAATATGAAAATAACTATAAATGAGAAACTATGACATACAAGTTCACTACAGATTCTGGTGAAAGAGTAATGGCATTACTCTCAAATTTGAAGTGGCAGCTTCGGTTTTGAAGAGAAGATAAACATATAAACCGCACCATATCCAGATTGAAAATGTAAAAGCCAAGAGGTTCAAGGTAACTCTAAATACATCACCATAACTTTGATCCGCAATTAAATTCAACAACTACCTAAACGTTGCAGCTTTTTCATTGCTTTCTGGCTGCAAGAGCATATAATTTGCTGCACCGAGGAGTGCTACATGCAAGCATCATTGTCTCAAAATTTCAGAAAGAACCCACATAAGTTTTTATGTGAAATCAACACGTAAGTCATCGAGTCCCGTGCAACACAGAGCATCCCACAGCCCACTGTGTGGAGCAGATTCTAGTCTTGTCTAGACCATATAGTTTATTAACTAACAGAAGACAAGCTTGTAAAGGGATTTTCAAGCTAAAGCTTCCAGAACAAGCAAAACACTCATGAATGAACAATAACCCTAAATGAAAAGGTCATCTTAAAAGAGGAGCACCGTCAGGCAGACCTCATATTCTCATTTAATAATTGAGAAACTAAATGACACCTAAGTCAAAGACCTCCTAAGAAATTTTACCTCATAATGCAAAACAACAGGCCAAATTATCTAACACCATCACATCTCTTCAAGTTCCATAAAGATGATCTTCATAGACAGCAGCAACCACAAACCAGCAGTGGAGTTCCTATCTTTTCACTTTCTAAGGGCTTTTTTGGTAAAAAAAACAACTGGGAGCCTCCCATCATATAACTGAATCTACAATATTAATCATAAATATTTTAGAAACAATATTTTAATGCAGTAAAAATTTTATAATAATAACTTTATAAATTGCAAAACTTTTTTGTTCAATAAAATTATTAATCTAATATATATTTATTTATATAAATATAATAATAACATATATAACCAATGGAGAGGCTAAAACTCATATTATCCTAACTTGTAGTAACTTGTATCTGTCATACGAGACATGGAAAAATCTCAGATATGAATTTCTATGGCAAGCTTTTGTTGTGATTTAATTGTCTGACCATTGTCTATGACTCACTTCTTTTGTTTTATATGTTATTTTCAGATGATAACATGTGAAAAAAGAAGCAGCTAAAATTTGGCGAGATGCTTTCCCGAGGTAGGAGAAACTAAAACCTAAGGAAATGCAGAGACACGATTGACAATCTAGAACCCCATTTCTCTTCTGCAAAAGGTGATCTGAAAGGGTTATCTTTGTAATTGCGACGACATAGTTTCGTTCTATTTATAGTCCAATACTTGTATTTTATTGGAATCATACCACATTTCTTTCATGATTCATTTCATTTGACATGCATTACTTTTCATTTTATATATTGCTTATTATTTATAAAATTACATTAAATGAGTTGAAACTGAGTTCAATTTAAATGGTAAATTCCTTCGTCAAGCTTCATTAATGGCTGTTAATGAACTGATATTCTGTCTTGTATCTATAAAATTCGGTTTAAATGGTTGTAACTGTGATGACACAGTTTCGTTCTGTCTATAATTTAGTACTTGTATTTTATTGGAACCATACCATATTCCTTTCATGATTCAATTCATTTGACATGCGTTACCTTTTATTTTATGTGTTGCTTGTCATTTCTAGAATCATATTAAATGAGTTGAAACCGGGTTAAGTTTAAATGGTAAATTTCTTCGCCAAGCTTCATTAATAACTATTAATGAACTAATATTTTGTCTTGGATTTATAAGCATCTTTAAAATTCAGTTTAAATAACTGTAATTGCGATGATAAAGTTTTGTTCTATCTATAATTCAATATTTATATTTTTATTGGAACCATACCATATTTCTTTTATGATTCAATTCATTTGATATGTCGTTACTTTTCATTTTATATGTTATTTATAATTTTTAGAATCATATTAAATGAGCTGAAACTGGTTCAATTTGAATGTTAAATTACTTCACCAAGCTTCATTGATGGCTGATAATGAAATGATATAACATCTTGCATCTCTAACATGTTATGCTTACTCCTCCCATTTACCATTTAGTAGCTATAAATCTCTGTATCGCTCTCTCGTAGATCCATATATCTTTCTTCAATTGACTGCACCAATGGAGTTCTGGTTGTCACTGATTGCATTTCTTTGCCTCTTCGTTTTTCTTCTGTCATTTCTTGATCTCTTCCATAAAAACAAAAAGTTGCCACCAGGGCCCCCTACCTTACCCGTCCTAGGAAACTTTTTATGGCTTCTGAGATCATCCAATAATTTTTCTTCGTTGGAGCCTGTTCTCCGCCAACTACGTGCCCAATATGGCCCTATTGTGACCCTACACCTGGGATCCGAGCCTTCCATTTTCATAACCACTGCTGAAGCTGCCCATAAGGCACTTGTACGTAGTGGCTCGATATTTGCGAGTCGCCCACCAGCTCTTGAGACCACCCGTATCATGTTAAGCAACGAAACTACAGTGACTACTGCACCTTATGGACCGCTATGGCTCCAACTCCGTCAAAATTTCATGTCAGCGTTTCATCCTTCACGCTTACATTTGTATTCCGATGGGAGAAAATGGGCATTGAACATACTTAGGAGCAGAATCTTGGAAGAAGCGAGACCGAACCACGAAGCAATTGTTGTTGTTGATCATTTTCAACATGCTGTGTTTTGCTTGCTAATTTACCTGTGCTTTGGTGAGAAATACGAAGAGAGTGTTATTAGACAGATTACTTCAGTGCAACGTGCTATTATAAAAAATTTCGTGAAGTTTAATTTGCTTAATTTCATGCCTAAGCTGGGAAAAATTCTGTTTCACAAGTTGTGGAAGGAACTTCTGGAGACTCGCCGAGAACTAGAGAATGTCCTCCTGCCTCTTATCGATGCACGACGAGAGAAAAAACACCAGAAATTAATGAATGAAGGAAGGGGAGAGAGCATTCTGTCCTATGTTGATACCTTGATAGATTTTCAGTTACCAGATAGTGGCAGAAAGTATTCGGATGAAGAATTGGTGAGTTTGTGTTCAGAGTTTTTTCATGGTGGGACGGACACTTCAATAACGACATTACAATGGGCTATGGCTAATATAGTGAAGCACCAACACATACAAGAAAAGTTGCATAAAGAAATCAACGCTGCAGTAAAACCAGGAGAAGAGATAACAGAGGAGGATTTGAAGAGAATGCCTTATTTGAAGGCTGTAATTCTGGAAACTCTTCGACGACACCCCCCAGGACACTTTATACTACCGCATGGGGTCACGGAGGATACGAAATTAGAAGGCTACGATGTACCCAAAAATTCGATAATTAATTTTACGGTAGCAGACATGGGATGGGATGCAGATGTGTGGGAAGATCCAATGGAATTTAGACCAGAGAGATTCTTAAAAAATGGTAAAGGTCAGGGGGTAGTGTTTGACATGAAAGGTGTAAAAGAGATCAAGATGATGCCCTTTGGTGCTGGTAGGAGAGCATGCCCTGCTATTGCCATGGCATTACTTCACCAAGAATACTTTGTGGCAAATTTGGTTAGAGACTTTACATGGACTGCTGAAAATGGTTGTGCCATTGATTTGTCAGAGAAACAGGATTTCACCATGGTCATGAAGAATCCACTTCGCGTGCATATTTCTCCAAGAACATGTTGAAGATGGTTCTTGACACTTCTAGCCTGACAAGCCTTCATTTCATCAGCTAAAATTTAAATCATTAAATTGAAATTGAAATCTTAAAATCAACAGTTACTACTTATTCCTCCAGTTTAGAAGATGCCAAGTCTTTAGAGCTTTGCAAGGGACCTGGGAAAATTGAAATGACTGCTTTACAAGTTTTGTGCCAATCTGTATCCTATTCCTAGTAAAAGTTTAGCAGTGTCAAGTTTTTTACCTGGCAAGTGGATCATGGTTGGTTGCTTTCTGCGCTTGGCCAGCAAAGAAATCCGATAGCAAGGATGAAGGTGAGTAGATGACAAGGCATATGTTCAGAATGCTCAACCCTTCAGTCATTCCTCACTTGATGGAGATATCCAGCCTTGCAAGTTCCACGGCCATGGCATAGAATGCCCTGGCTATTCTACCATGAAAGACACGCGTCACCTTTAGAACCAAGCCTGATTTCGGAGCATCCCAGGATACATTACAAGTCAACACCTTCTTTTATCTTGTTAAGGTTGAATTAGAATCTTACGAGAAGCAAAGTCGTGGGGTGTAAGACTGGTGCATGTACTAACAAAAAACTAAATCTCCAGTCGAATTACTGTGAGCTTAACACCTGTAATTGTAATAGTGTAATAATGACATTGTTTTTCACTCGTAAATCACAAAACATTTGAACCGGATATTATAAGAAGCGATACAATATTTTTCATCGTGACTTAATTATTATTTTTATTGTTATTTTTTATTTAAATTATTTTTTTTTAAATTTTTTTCATGTTGAATTTAATCTTCGTCATTTTTATTATTATTATTTTTATTTTGATAGTTTTTAATAAATAATATTTTATTTTATTTTATCATTTAACATTAAATTAGTTGAAAATTAAAATTTTTAATTAAATCAAGGTTTAAAATTTTACAAATTATGAGTTTTGAAGATTAATATGCATTTATGAGATTTATCCAAATTTGTGTTTTTTTTCTTTGTTTGTTTTAAGCTCATGTTTTTTTTATTTAATATTTATTTAATTAGAGATTAAACTCCATTATTTTTATATATATAGTTTTTTACTAGATTTGGGTTGTCCTGGGTTTTTATATTTTTGTTAAATTAACTTTAACAAAAAATTTAAATCTATTTTTTTATTTATTTTTCAATGTTATACTGATTAAAAATTTATTTTCGTTTTTAGTTTTGTTTTTCAAAGTTAGAGTTTTTTATATGTGATTTCTTTTTAATTTTTTTTATTTGTTTACCTCTACCATGATCTCATCACTTAAATTATGAGTTTTGTGAATTAACCCGAGTTAACTCAAGTATTTTAAGATTAAATTTATTTAGTTTTTTAAAATATTTTCATAATCAACCATTTAATATTTAATTGTTTTAGTATTAAGTTTTGTAGTCTATTCCAGTTGTTTTTTATAAAGTTTTATTATTTTCATGATATGGGTTGTATAGTGTGATTGGCTTGCCCGATTTGTTAGGTTTTTTTGTTTTTAATCTCATCATTTTATATTAAATTTATTTAAAATTGATTTTTATTTTTTTATTTTATTTTTATCAAGTTAAATTGGTCTTGAGTGCATACTTGACCTGTTATATTAGATGATTTATTTTTTTATTTGATTGGCTAAATATTTTTAGTTCTTTTACCTCAATTTTTTTATTTAAATTAGTTTATTTATCACTGTTATATATATTTTTATTATCTAATTAAACTATAACAATTTTTTTACCTAAGCCATGCCTATGTTTGGAGTCATGTTTTTCTTTTTTTAAAAAAAAACATATAGCCCGAACATATTTTTAACCGATAAACAAAAATGTTTAGCGGAGGAGGTCGGGTACACGAATCTTAAATGTGTGACCATATATAAACCCGACCCTTTACTGTCTACCCTGTCGATTCCCGCCCACAAGCCCCAGCAGCTCCCACATTTCCCGCCAAATAATGGAAATCTTATTTCTGGTGTACAAACGACGCCGTTAGATCCAATTCTGTGGTTTATGTACGTCTATTGAAGAAAGACAAACAGAGAAGAGAACAGAAGCAATGAGAGCAAAAGTCGATCGAAACTGAGAGAGAGAGAAAGTAGCTAGCCAATTTCAACAAATACAAAGCTTTTGAAGTAATTAATTTCAGGATCTGGCTCGCCTGCTGATTCTGCTGTTGTAATTTGAAAACAGACTCTCTCTCTGACTAAGCGAGCATGGATAGAGACGAAAGCGAGAATGGAAGGGAAGACATGTTGATTGATGGACAGAAGCAGGGAAATGTTTCTGTCCCTAGAGAATTTAATGTTAATTACCTCAAACTTTATTATGGTAACCAAACTAAACCCTAAATAACTTTTAAATTTCTTTTTACATAGCTCATGATTATAAATTATTTTACCTATTTTTTTTTTATGAATGGCAGCGAAGCTCTTTCCTTATGCTGATATGTTCAAATGGATGTCCTACGGAAATGGTACTTTTTTTTCTTTTTTTCTTTTTTTTTTTTGGGGGGGGGGGGGGGGGTTTTTGGGGGGGGG